AGCAGTCATGGAAGCTCTTGATAGTCAAGGAGTCCCTACTCAGTACACAATGATTCTTCGTGAGCTGTACAAAAATTTTACAGTCAAGTTATCACCATTCTACAACGATATTATCGTTAATGTCAAAAAAGGGGTTAGGCAAGGCGATCCAGCGGTACTCCCTGCCCTAACGTATGAGTCGGAGACCTTGTAGCCGCCTAAGCGGAACGAAAGATTGCTCAACGTTATTGAACGCGCAGTTGAAAGGACGATGCTGTGGGTGTTCCGCCTTACACAAGTGAAGGAATGGACCCGAAGATGTGACCTATGTCATTGACCAAAGATCAAAGACGCCCTTCTATGTGCCATTCTCTCGAAGATAAAGTGAGTCGAGCTCGTAATGCGTATGAACGATAACCAATGGACAAGAGCAGTAAGTGGCTGCATTCACCGAGATGTCAAACCTACCTCGGGACGATCACCTATGACAAATGACACAGGTGTTGTAGACAGATCATCTTTAACAGAGTATCCCACGAATGAGACAACCTCACCCAGCGATGCTCTGTTATGCAGAACGGTTGTTGTCGACGTGATTGTCTCGTGGTGACAATTTGTTTTTTTTTCGGACAGTCCATTCTAGAAAAGCCAAAATCATTATCACCTAACATAAAATGTAATATTACATGAAAAACCGACTTTCCTTTAACCACGCCATGAGCAACCAATACGCATTATTTCAGTTACGAGCTAATGCGAGGTTGATAAAACAAACTTTATTCGGTTAAGCTTTCGACGTCTTCACCTTCTCCTAGGCCGATGATCTGAGTCGATGTCCGCCGTCTTTCGCTCTCTCGATGTGATGTATTCTTCGTGGTGTCCCGGATCATCAACTCTGAGGAAGACGAAGACATCGAAACGTTAGCCGAGTAAATGTTAATCTTATCAAAATCGTGTTGGCTCATCACTGAAGGAATACGTATTGTTCTTTTTTACTCTTTCAGTGATAATCCAAGGCAGTATTGATAAAAAATTCTTTATATTCTTCTTGGGCAAATACAAGGTTTTATTTTATTCTTTATTCAAAAACAAGCTAACGTTTCGGTGGATTTCGCCTTGCTCAGAGCTTAGAAAGGTTAAATTGACAGCAATCTACTCAGCCAAACACTTCCATAACCAAACAGAGAAAATGCTAAGCCAAAATTCCAATCGCACTGAACGCAGAATAGCTTCCTCGCTCACTGACCGCTTTCTATTAGTCTTCCATTGAACATGTCGCGTAGAGAGCAATCGCAAAAAGTTCACATGGAAGCGCAATGTGCCTCTCACATCGAAATAACATCCTTAAATAGTGCACAATTTCACGCGTCATCATGAGGCATTTATCCTTGCTGTTCATTTTCGAATTCTTGGAATACATCTAGAATGCCTCAAAAATTTTGCGTGATTGTGTTTTCGACTCCTGTGCGAGGATCATAACTTCCACTTCAAATTCTTCTCCGCTGTGTCTCCACGCCCTGTGTGTACCTAGTAGAGTATTTGGTTTAACTTTTACCGACTACGTGTTCTTTTATACGGATGCAGAGTGGTCTACCCGTTTCGTCAACGTATTCGTTTCACCACGCTCTATAAGAGATCAGATAAACTGTGCCCGAGCTCATACAATCACCGTCTCAACCGTTAGGGCAAATTGTGCAATTTCGCGTTCCACATAGACGGTCGTAAAAGCGGTTGTGAACTAGTTGGCTTCTTAGAGTGCTCGGTGATAGAGGTGAAGCTTAGGGAGGAATGCCTCATATAATCACGCATGATATTGGGCAATATTTAAGGATGTTGTTTTGATGTGAGAGGCACATTACGCTTCGAAGTGAACTCTGTGCGGTTAATCTCTACGTGACGTATTCAGTGGAAGACTAATGGAAAACGGTGAGTGTGCGAGGAAGCTATTCTGTTTTCAGCGTGATTGAAATCTTGGTTTAGCACTTTTTCCTTTTCGTTATGGAAGTGTTTCGCTGGGCAGATTGCTGTCAACTTGACCTTTCTAGGCTCTGAGAAAGGCGAAATCCACCGGAACGTCAGATTGTTCTTAAATAAAGAATAGAATAACAACTCGCATTTGCCCAACAAGAATACAGAGGATTATTTGATCAATGCCGAGGTTAATAGAAAGTTGGTCGTGGGAATTGATAAGACACTTTATTCTGCTCATTGCTCGAGGTGGACAAAGTTGTTTATAAATTTCGTGCTACTTGTCAATGAAGGAATGCATGTCGTTCTGATAAGCTGAGGTTAAGAGTTAGTCGATTTTTGAAATGTTCTCCTTGGCTTCCGTTTTTTGCAATGGAATAATCAATAACAGCACGCACGTTATCATTTTATCTTTCAATCTTTGTGATGTTTGTTTTTACCGCCTTTTTTTTCTACACGACAGTATTCCTTTTTACATCAACGAGTGTTGCTTGTTATTTCTAGTAGTCTGCTGCAAGTAAATTTCAATACGGAGCGTACGTCTCTAAAGCAGTTCTTCCAGAGCCAGGAAGTGACCTACTTCTCCAAACTCTTTCGATTTCTCTTCTCGTTTTCACGGTGAATTCCTCAGAAATTATTCACATGACTCAGGCATTTTTCATCGCAGTTGTAGCGCAGCATGGTAACCAAGAGATTTCACAGATTAACTCACCGTCGCTTCCGGAATTTCTTTTTAAAGGAACTTCCTGCAAGGAGCGCATTCTGTGCTTGGAAGGCAACATTTCATAAGCATAAAACTCAGATACGGGTAATCTAATATGGTCCATGTGGATACCGAAAACAGTTTTCGTAGAAAGGCGATCTATCTTTCATTGTTCGAGACACATCGTCCATCATTCGACTCCCACCCGGCCGGCAAGGGATGAGGCGGAACAGATAAAACGGTTGCATCGCGACTGGCAACAAATGGATATCTAAGGAATAGAAAATAAAGGGCAAGTTTTTTTTCCAGTTCAGTGATTCTACAGACACTTGGCTGGTGGAGATTGGCGTCCATCTCATCCAACGTTTAATTTCTTTAAGAAGGAAATGACACTAGGCATTTCTCGTATGTTCCTTCTACCAAAAAACTGGAAACAATACTCCATAATTCAAAAAAAATCAATACGTGCATTTTACTTAAGGTTCTCGAGATATCTTTATACTATATATAGCTTTTTAGCCACAGGTTTACAGACGTGACAATGATCAGTTGATCGCCGAAACGATTTTGGAAAGGTCAAAAAAGAAAGCGATTCTCGCTTAGTTGAGATGAGCTCACCTGAATGATCGCTACTTTTGCAGCCATCAGTCGATTGATTATAAAGCAAACTTAATTTAATACAGCTTCCCAATTTATGTTGGCCGTCTATTCTTTTTTAACCTGTTGATCACGAGTTCACACTCCATATTTGGTTTCAAGTTTTGCTCACACCTGAGCATCCCTATAGCGGTATTTCAATTTAATACACTTGCAACGATGCTGGACTTTCAATTACGGACGATATTCTCCATTAACTAAGTAGTAGAAGAGGGAGGAGTTTCTCAGGCTCATAACGGAAACTTTGTCCTGTTATCTCAAAGGTGCACGTAGTTCTTATAGAATGGTCTTCGCATTTCAAACTTTCTGGAAGAAAAAACTATTAGAAAGTCACCAGAATTAAAGCCTTCCTGATTGTATACACAAATGGTTCATTCTGGAAAGCTACTGTGCCCATTTATGTTCATCCTGACGAAATCCTGCTTTTCATAAACTCTGTTCCTCGAAGTATGAGTAACAATGGAAAGAGTGCACGAAATATCTGTTATGGGCTCAATCAGATTCTTATTAAGAACCCTTTTCGTCTAAATTAATAAAGTTCATTATGTGTTGAAATATCTTGGTTTAAGTTTGAAATGGGTATAATTTTCACGCTGCTTCACTCCGTAACGGACATGAAACGGTAGCTGAAAAATCGGACGATGGAATTACGAGGGTTAAAAGTAGATCAGCGAAGCTGCATACAAGTCGCTAAACTGCCCATTTAATGCTGAACTCTAAAAGAATCAAAGTGTGGTTCGTTACGGTCTCTCGAACTCCGTCGTGCTTTAACTGCGTATCTGTTCTTCTCTCTATATTCTCACAGTCAGTTAACTTTGTATGATTTCAGTGGTGACATCACTCTTTCAAGGATTCCAAGAAAAAAAGTGTCCGATTTATCAAAGCAAAAATTATCAGACCAAAAGTAGCGAATCGGTAAACAATCAAACGTCCTGAATGTAATGTCTACGTTGGCTGCCACATCACTACATCACATGGGTTGCCACAGAACAACCGCCTCAATGAGATCGGTCTGATTCAAAACTCATTCGAGTGCGAAAGAAATCGCTTGTGACTGCCGAAGGTCATCGGTTGCGTGTCCGCCGACTGTTGGTGACGTTTCGCCGAATTGATTGTTGACCGTCCGAAATGACTATAAAACCAGCGGAAACGAGGTGGTCTAGTTAGCCGAAGCTACAAGAACCACATCTTTCGCCTTGTAAGCCTTGGCACACTTTTGTTCTTATCCAAGTAATTGATTGATGCATCAGGACCCATAATAATTGTAGGCAAACAATCTCAGAAGTTCTTGATAAATAGTTGTTCTCAAGGTGTAGTTCCAATGAAGGAAACACATTAGGAGTTTCGAAAAGTACTGAAAAGCTCTAAAAGGTACTTTCTCACTGTTGTTGAACATAATTATTTGTCTAAATAAAAAATCAGCAGTAAAAAAATCTAAAGTATGTCTGGAAAACTTCTCATTTTCCTTTCGATGCACCTAGAATAAAATTCGCTACATATAGAAACTGTTATATCCATTATTTCATAACTACTACAGCAAGATGAAGGGTGAAAAACACGGATAACCTCTATTTTCGTCGCTTAGGTGCTGAAACGGTCGATGTCCCGTTTTACCAAGCTTCTTTTCCTAACTTTCCCAACAGTCTTCATTCATATAACATTGCTTTCAAACTCCACTGATTTAATTTTAGGAATGAATCGCTGCTTAGTTCTTGTTCTTCTGTCTTGCATGTTATTTATGCAAACGGCTGCTCAGTTTGGCTTCGGCTACCCCTACGGTGGCTACGGTGGCTACGGTGGCTACGGTGGCTACGGTGGCTACGGTGGCTATGGTGGCTATGACTACCCCTATTACGGCGGATGGGGCTATCGCCGTTATGGCTACAGTAGGTTCTAGTTATGAATGAAAAGCCAGAAACTCGACTCGTGATTTTGTTCTGTGTAGTATTTGTATCTGTTTCAGGTCCATTTAGAGGTGCTATACGAGGTGCGTTGGCGGGTGCGGTGATAGGTGGATTGATTGGAAAAAAATAAGTAGAAGCGTTTTCGAGAAGGCTAACTTATTCTGCTTTGCTTCATGCCTGTATATAAACCAGAGAAACATAGTGATTTGTTGTTTTTGGTTGCCTGATATGTTTAAATACCATTCTTTACTGAGGTGTTGGGATACCGAGTTGTTTTTAGACAATAAACAAATTGGAATTGTTATTGGATTATTGGAACTGGTTATTATTGGAACTGTTAAAATATAATGATCTCTACAATAATTGATTAAGGTTAAACTCGTGTCTGAGAGTTTCCTGACATTTTCAATCTTCTCCTGAAGGCGCAGTATGGATTCAAACATGAGCATAAAATTTGAAAAAGCATCTTGAAGATGCCTCGCCTTTATCGTCCATCGTCTAAAAAGGGATTTAAAAGTCATCACTGAAAGTTAAACAATGAAGGAGTTAAAATGGCATGAGCGGCTAGGTTAAAACCATTAGTTATCTCTCAACTCATGCTTAACTTGCCAACATGCCCCATATTGTACTTACTTACCAAAAACTTATAAGTTAGTATACAGTGATGACCATGTGTCTGGCGACCAGTCGGTTAAAACTTGAATTTAAACTTAAACCTATCTTTAGCTTTGCGCGCAGGTCAACGGATAGAATAACGTGGTTTGTAACCCTATTACTTATCCAGTTGTTAAAACACATTCTATCTCGTCCAACGAACACAAAGAAGTTTCCGGACCATCTACGTAACGCGCGTCTCAACAGCACGTGCGTGATGGAGTCTCTCGACGTTATCCACCTCTGTACAAACGTGCCAAATATCTCCGCTATGCAAGCCCATTCATGAACTCCTTGCACTTGATATTTGATACTTGAATGGCTTGTACTTGTGCGGGTTCCAGCATATTCTCCATTTTTTGGAGATTTGTTGATTAAGTCATTGTGGTTGCCCCAGATCATTACCACCACAAGCAGTCGCAGCCCTCGTGGATCAGAGGGAGATTTTCCACTATGAGACTTTCATACCAAGACGATGGTGAGTTCTAGTATTGGTTTACTCTTAGATAAGCTTCCTGATGGAAACGCCGGCTTGGGAGACTCTCTCAGCATGGGAGACCCTGCCAGGAGATGAATCTCCCGCAGTGTATGGCAGTCCGACACCGAGGAACACCTCCCAGCCACGATAAGGCGGTAAACAGTTAGGAGGACGAACCTCTTGTACAACACAAAAGAAAAATAAATATGTAAGTATGGCTTCACGTTAATGACACTCTTAAAGGCCTGCCCAAACTGCTCAATCTTTAGATGATCCGGAAGGTATTACGCACAAATGAGAGGGCTGGCTATGGGACAACGATTGGTACCGAGCCTTTCCGTCGCATTTGTGTCTAAAGTGGAAGTAGTTGTAACCGATCTCCGGCTATTACTCTACTGTAGATACATAGCTTTCTCATTTGTTCAACACAAATGGAAATAGACAAATCTTTTGAGTCATTGAATGAACAGTCAGAGTATACTAAGTTTGCCCGAAAGAAACAGGTTTCTTTTTCTGAACGTGCAAATTAAACCCTAATTCGAAAGGGTACCGAAAGCGAAGTAGAAACACATTGGTCCATTACCTCTCGTCACACCTCTCACACACAAAAAGGCGCCTATAAGAAAGGTTTCAATCAGCAACCAGCGTGTGCACAGGAAGAGAGCAGAGAGATGAGTGCCGAAACTTGGTGCCGCAAATAGGCATTTCTAGTGGCTTTGAAACTGTAGCTCGGGATAGGTTTAGAGAAAAGTCCTAACTCCCAAACGACAACTTTAGTGATAATAAGGTTCCGTTTATCCTGCTCTTCATTTCAAATGTAATAAGTGCAGCTACAAAGCGTTCCTTAAGAACGGCTGGGCTACAAAATTCGGTAACGGTAATTGAAATACCAACGAGCACTCTTAGGCGCCAACTAGTTTGTAACCGCCTATATGACCGTCCATGTACAACGCAAAATTGCATAACTTCCTCTAATGGTAGCGACGGTGATTGCATGAGTTCGAGTACAGTTTACCTGATCTCCTGTAAGGTGCGCGGAGACAAATACATTGGCAAAACGGGTAGACCACTCCGTGTCTGCATAAAAGAACATCTAGTCGGTAAACATGAACCAAATACCCCACTAGGCGCGCATAAGACCCAGTGACATAACGGAGAGGACTTTGAAGGACGGTAACGATCCTCGCACAGGAATCAGAAACACAAGCACACAAAATTTTCGAAGCATTCTGGATTAATCCGAAGAATACGAAAATGAACCGCAGGGAGAAATGCCTTATAATAACCCGTGATTTTGGGCAGTATTTAAACCTGTTGCTCTGATGAGAGGGAAACATTACGCTTCCATGTGAACTATGTGCGGTTGGTCTCCACGTGACATAGTCAGTGAAAGACTCATAGAAAGCGGTAAGTGTGTAAAGAAGCTATTCTGTGCTCAATGTGATTGAATTTTTAGTTTAGCATTTTCTCTGTTTGGTTATGCAGGTGCTAGGTTATATGGATTGCGGCCAATTTGACTCCTCCAGACTCTGAGGAAGGCGATATCCTCCGAAACGTGAGCTTGTGTCTAAATAAAGAAATATTAACACTTCGTGTTTGTTAAGCAACAATATAAAGAGCTAAAAAAGTTGACGTGTATAACAAGGCCGAGAGACAAGTGAAACGAAGGACTCGCATGGTGTGGTGATGAACCTGTTTGCCTTCGGGAAGGGTAGTAGCCTGTTCGTTCCCCACCGCAGACGCCATCGGTCCGGAGTTTAACAAATATCTCAGCAACATTATGGCTATAAAATTTAAATTTTTTATGCTATCACTTTTGTACTCAATGGAATTTGGAGCGGGCTTTCCAATTTTGCTTCATGGCGGTGATTTATCGCCTTTTGTATCCATATACGTGCACAGACAAATGGTTGCTCTTACGTGTTTCCGAACAGCAACGAACAAATCAATCCAGCACATATCTGTTCCAGTGCCAACAGCTTTTCATGAATACATCAAGCCTATTCTTTATGTTCTAATGAACTAACTGAGCCTATTAGTTCGTCAAACTCAGAGGAAACGAAAGTCAAAAAGAGCTCGCGTAGAGCACCTTCAGTGAGCATAACACGCCACATACGTATGATTTCCAACGACAACGAAAATTTTTCGGTTGCCCTTTATAATTAGTTGATGATAAGAAAGTTTAGGTGATTCAAATAAAACAATGCTTCATAATGCAAAAAACGAAAAATGAAAAAATGTAAAACAAAAGGAATGTAAAAAAAACAAAAGGTAACAACACACTAGAAGGCGAATATATACGCCGCATTACACTGGAAGTATCAGATCTGAAGGAATAAGTAATCACATCGGTGGAGGGTTATTATTTGTTAGAATCCAGTGGTTACTTTAAGAAATTGGAGCTTACTGTTGATTAACAGAGCTGAAAATTCTGGCGGATCGGACGTCTAGGCTTTTCATCAGTGTGGGTAACTGCTCCGTGTAAGCGCGCTTGTCGAAATCTTAAAGTTGTCTGTTCTTTCGTTAGATAGTCATAGAAATCCGATCAGGAGTTTCCGAGAAAATCCCCAGCAGATAGCAAGTCCAAATTCTTGCTGTTCTGCAAGTGAGCAAAATACACGATGACGACAATCTTTTGAAGTCAGTAAGAGAGCAAGATGATGACACCTAAACGTCTTTAGAAGAGCTTTTTCAAATTACCGATAACAAATACTATTAATAGAGAACACCCAGCAATCTAATCGTCGAAATCGTGATAAATCGCATACTGTTAATAACAATAAAAGAAAAAAGTAATTTTATTCAGCTAAGTGAAGATGATAAATAAAGGATAAAGCTCTCGGCGTTGATCAAACCCTAAGGGATGCGCCATATATTCGACTTCATTAAGCATCGTTGGAGGTGATTGAATGCATATCTGGTTTTCACAATGACTCGCAGTGGCCTACCGATGTATCGAGCCAGTGCTGCTATCCTCCCAGACAAGTCTTGTACCAATTTGCCGACCCCGAATGGATGGAAGGCTTGGTAGGCCATAGGCGCAGAAACGATTCAACATGTGTGTCGCAGTGGCACCTCCAACCACTGCGTCACACGCGACTTGTGAAGATCATATAATTTGAAAGGTAATGCAAGAATTGCCAGCGAACATTGCAGACAACAAATCGGAGCAAACGATTTGAAGACACATGTTTCAAATTTAACAGTTTTAAATACTTAAAGCTTTTTGGTAAGATTAGAAGCCATTAAAGAGTGGTTGTGCCCAACTTAGCTATGCTAAGGCAAAATTGCTCATCACTTTTCGAAACGCTTTATCCATTGGAATATGAATGTGCCGTTTTCTTGTTCAGCAATCGCGAGGTTTTTAAACAGCATACATTTACTTCCATAAAAAACAAAATACAATACAACGCTAGCTAACGATTCGGCAGTATCGCCTTCTTCAGAGCAGCTTTTTTGTGACTTCCAATGAGGAAGTTTAGAACAGCTGATTATAGTCGCATGTGGTTGTCAACCACACGCCGAAACGTCAGCTAGTTTTGTATTGTACTGTGTTTTTTATGGAAGTAAATGTATGCTGTTTAAAAACCTCGCGATTGTTGAACAAGAAAACGGCACATTCATATTCCAATGCCGAGGTTAAAAGAAAGTCGATCCTGGGAGCTTTATCCATTGTTAAAATAAAGATGTTTTCTTCATGAGCAGTATAGTGGCACCACACCAACCACGGCTGGCGCGTGACACCAGTTCCGGCTAAGCTATCTCTACCATAACGTGGTGGACTGATAGAAAATTTGGAAAATTGATTAATGAATAAAAAAATTGATAGGGAAAACAAGTGATTTTATTACCGATTGACCTATACGGACGTGTTAAATAATATTGGCCTAAGTTGATTTCTTTATTTACTGCTTGCTACAATTTTTTACTTGAAGGTGTTATGTGAAATACAACCGTAATGATGCTCAGATATTTGCAAAACTCCGAGCTGCTGGTGTCTGCGGTGGTGAACGAACCCGCTATTGTCCTTTATGGGGAGTAACGTGCTCACCACCACACTGTGCGGGTCCTTCGTTTTGCCTATCTCTCAGCTAGCTCGATCGATCTCTGCCATCAGCCCCGCTCACAGGTGTTTGTTGAAATCCCCAGAAAGGACAATAGCGCGTTCGCTCCCTACCGCACACACCTGCAGCCCGGAGTTTTGCAAATATCTCAACATCATTGAAGTTATATTTACCAATATACCCTGCCATTAAAAAGAGTAGACAATAAGTAATGAGTTAAAATTATGATCAGTGACTCGGAAAAACTCAGCTTTTCCATTCCCTTAACAGAGGTGAATATCAGAAACCTGTTTTCTTTTTAGAAATCTTAAACGACGCTCGACAAAATTGTATGATTTCTGCTCCATTTGCATCTTAAAAGGAATCGATTAAGTTTTTACATGCCTTTCACAGAACCATTAGACAAAGCAAATACTTTTTGAGAAGGCATAAAATCGATGACTCGCAAGATTTGTAACTCCCAAACGTTACAAATGTGTTGCTTTTGGCCAATTTTCTGGACTTCTGGAATCTTTCTGTACTTCTCTTCTATTTACTTCTAGTCAGCACTTCGAATTCGTCACCTAACCACCTCGCAAATTATGGATAATTTGCTGCAGATTTTTAATAGTCTTTCTACACCTTGACCTAAATTGTGTTTTATGGAATCCACGAAGGAACTCTATAAGCCGTGTAAAGTTTGTAACATTCTTTGCTTCCATGTGAATCGTGTCAGTTCATCGTTAAAAGTTTCGGTCCGTTCACCTATCCTTCATTATTTAGCGCCGTACTCACTTCATGGATGGAAGTGCTGTGTTCCGGGCAGTTTTACTCACGATTGCTCTGTTTATTAAGCCTTCTGATGAACGAGTTTTTCGTGATGTATGCTGCTGCTGCTTTGCTGGTGGCTGGGGAGGAGAACTGATGATTGTCGGCTGGGTGGGTAGATTTCTTGGCTTTACCCCACCTTTTGTAGTCGATGAATTCCTGAAGTTTATCCGCTCTTATAAATTACTGGAAAAACGTACAAATTTTGTTTTAAGTTATGTGTATAAGTATCCACGGTTCCCAGGTATTCACGGCTTCAAGCGAATTTTGTGGATGGATATTCACGAATAGTTTTCAAGCATACAGGAGAATAAGTAGTGCAAAACCTATAAGCAATCAAGGTTCTGTTTTTAGTAAAATTCCTTGTAATATCAAATTTCTTTCACCTTTGAACTAGCAGTCGAAGTTATTTCGAGTGATCACTAAAATATGAAAAATGCTATCTCATTGGGATACGTGTAGAACAATGGTGAACAGTGCCCTACAGTACACACATGGTCGTTGGTTTGATCCTGCGCAACCAAGTTTTCTATTCTTCCGAGATCAACAAATCTGTGCAACGCTTCTAGTCATTCGACTGCACCTCGGAAATCCATCCAGTCACCTGTGCGATGCTTGATGGAGTTGAATGCATAGCTCATTTCTAAACGATTGTTCGACCTTGGAACCCTCAGCTTTCATTTCTTTATCCTCACATCGCTAGGACTGCAACGGAGAAATCAGTCACAAATACCCATAGGAGCTCATTGATTTGTATTTAATTTAGCAAAAGGCTTTCAGAAATGTTTCAATCACAGTTAAATCTTAAAGCAACTAAAGTTTCATTTACCGATATGATAATAATTGGCCGTAGTGACAGATCGCTGTGATATATTCTTCATCTTCCTACTATCACAAAGGAAAAAGACGTGAAGTTCTTGTAGCTGGTCAACCATGTTGGCGTGAGATACCACATATGTGTACGCTTAATGAATTCGCCGTAAATACCAATATACAAGTCATTTTTCTCACTCTCACTGATAAGACTGCTTCCACTTTACCTGAGCGGGATAACTGGATGAACGCCGGTTTACATGGATGAGGAAGAATTCCTAAACAACGACAACTTCAAACAATGGAGCATTTGGAGCATTGTTCTGCTGTGCAACGCTTTTCCGAATGCTGGATATTTCCTACGCTAGTCTGAATTCTGAAAATGGAAATTTTAAAAGAAAACGCTGACACACTCTGATTTAGCCTCGAAATCGATGATCAATATCGCGGCGTATTGATAAGTTACTCTGGAAATTTCTTACACATCAATCACTTTTGATCCGTCTTAAACGGATGCTTTGCCATTACAAAAACAGATAAGCCTAAATAAGCACTCGTCGAAAACTGTCCCTGTACAGAAGGGCATTGCAAACGCGTGACTACACTTCATTCATGCCCTGCTTCCCACCAATGGAAAGGGCTAAGTGCGAATATGAAAATCACATCACAAAGAACAGCACCTGCTGTGGACACTCTATTCGAATCAATGTGAGCCCGAAGAAGGAGATGATGCCGACACGTTAGTCGTAGCAAAGATTCGCTGGAAACCTCGTATAAGTTTACAAATAAGCCGAAATATGTGCCAAAATAGTACCGTTTAAAAAAGGCTGCAAAGGAAGTTTTTGGTGAGCTTCTCGTGAAACATTCCGTATTTTTACCACGACTTGACATAGAAATGGATTTATAGGCCTATTATAGAATTATCTTAACAGCAAAATGTAGATTGCATTCTTGTAATTTGTTGCCAGTATTTTGTTGCTGGGTTGCACTCAAGGCGTTGACACCATGGTTCAGCCCCTACTAAAAAGTTACGATTTTTCAACATTTTTAAAAACAAGATTCTGTTTTAAGTTTTAAACTGGGTTCTCCAAGCTTGTGACCAATTGATTTTAGAACCTGAACTCAATCAATCTTTCTGAAGAAATAAATGCATATTTGTTTTCTAGAGCCTTTCACATTAGGCCATGCTAATGGCAGTTTTTTTCTAACGATTCCTCTTGAAACTAATGCAGAGAAGACGTACAACTATTCAACAACCGGTAGCGCTAGCGCACACTTGAGACTAAGGCCGTCATCCTTGCGCACGCCTTCATTGGTGTTTAGTCTCCAAGTATAGCTGCTCTTCAAACAATGTATTTCCTAGTCATTATACTATCTGTTGTTGAGGCACAGCTCTACCCGACGCTCATACAACAGCGGCCTGTCTTCTTACCTTCACGCTTGCACCAGCATTTACAGGTATGATCTAATTCAGTGGTAAATGAGACAATAATAGATCAGAACTGCTAGTTACCTAGACACATGAATGAATCATTTTTACATTCCGTGCGGTGAAGACTCTAGTTAGATCCATTTTTTCCTCCTGCAGCGGTCATGAACGGAGATGTTCGGGTTTTCCTGTTGTTTCCACCCATGGAACATAATGGTTTGTCACCTCCTCTCCTCCACCTAAAGCCGCTGCTCAACCATTTACCAAAAATTTATGTGCTCTCAACCAACAATACAACCTCACTTTTCTATGATTAGAACCAAATTGCGAACAAAACATATTGACAGCGAAAATGGGGTCAAGTATCGAGAAAGGCACCCAAGGGATTGCAGTTGATTAACATTTTCGGTTCCAATGGCTCTGTAACTTTAAAGCTCCACCTCACAGATGGAAATCATCTGAAAAAATATCACTTAGAACTAAGACGAAAGCTTTTCCAGGGTTGAAAAGTAAAATCTTAGAGGAAGATTACAAGCCTAAAACTTGACAAATATAACCAACATGGCAAAAGATCGATAGAACTAGCTGAGAGACATGCGAAACGAACGACCCGCAAGGTGTGGTGGTGAACGCGCTACTCCCCGGAAAGGACGATAGCGCGTTCGTTCCCCACCGCATACACCTGCGGTCCGGAATTCTGCAAATATCTCAGCATCATTGGAGTTATATTTCGCAGTACATATTCTGCCATTAAAAAGAGTAGGCAGTAAATAATAAGCTGAAATTGTGACTATGACCAACATATTTCTTCTACCCCTTGGTGGAGCGAAATTGTTGAATGCACCTAAACCACTACAAAGTAGTTAACGCAAGCAGAAATTCTGCAGTTTCCAGTAATAGCGTTGCAACGCTTAAACCCTCTCCACCACTGCATTTTGCGATCTAATTAATGCAATGAAATGGAGTAAAAATCCAATGTGGGGTTTATTCCAAGTGCGTTAATGTTTCGCTTTAAGCTAATATTTGAGAATCATTTGATTCCTTTACCAAACCCAATAATGTCAAAATGCAAAACATCGATTTTCCTTTATTAAATCTAAAGGAAGAAAGTTTAATTATAAGTTTGTTTGAGAAGATTCGGTGAATGCAAGCCGTTTTGATTTTCCCAGTGACCAGGACTGGTTCGGTTTGGTAGAAAGGGAGTCCATAAAGCTTTGGGTGATTTTCAAGCTGTTTGTTAGGCCTATTCGAATTCACGAGTATTTACTTAAGATGCAAAAAAGCCGCTAGGCTACTGTAGTGTCCTTTTCAATGTCCAAAATATGTATTTGACTGCTGTGTTAGCATTGTTAAGTTTTCTTTTCGCCACAATGACGTATATGACCATCATGAAATTCCTTTTTCACTGTCGCATTGTGTTTCAGACCACGTTTTGCTATTTGCATGTCATATTTCAGCTGGCCGGCACTGTGCCCATCTACGAAGCGGTCGGTCCACCAAGGCCACCAGAAATGGTCGGCACCGCACTCGTCTCACCACCCACGCAAACATATGTGGTTCGACCCGTGATGCAACCCGTGCTGCAAACCTTGTCGCCTTCCATGGTACAGTCGCTGCCACTTGGCCAACAGGCTTATCCCTACGGCGACGTTACAGAGAAACGCGATGGTCCACTTAAAAGATTCTTACGCGGCGCTGCAGATGGATTTATGCTTGGCGCAATGGGTTGGTTAGGCTGAAGAACATCACGTGGGGAATGAAAAAGTTTATTGCAATCACTAGAATAGGATATTTTTTGCCGATTCTGGTGCATGAAATGTAGAGCACTCAAATTAGCCACTCTGATCTGAAGCTGATAATAGACTATACATAATAGACTAATGTACTGAAATACTATAGTTGCGAAATAAAACGCCCCTTACGATGGATTTCGCTTTTCATCTCTTATGTGTTTGTTCGCTTCTTATTATTATAGTACATTATGCTCCGTTTTATCAAGCTCCAGTTCTGTTCATTCTAACATTCCGTTACTCATTTAAGTTCCTCGAGGAGTGAGTTCTTCATTTTTCGTGTCTTTTTCTTCCTGCAGCTGCTTTCCTAACGGGTTTACACCATTCTTATTCTACCCAACTTATGAATAATATACAACCACATTTACGTTTCACTTATGCTCATTGGAAGTAATTAGTGACATTGTATAAATTTTCGTCACCATTTTCTGTTTAAAAAAGGAATGTACGCAGTGAGCGATCGCTTCATAAAAGAGAAATGACTTTCGCAGTCGTTACACTTAAGTGCTCTCCAATTTTGTGTCAGCAGCGGAAAGGAGGATGATGACCTCCTCTTCAAAGTACTGTCATATAAAGCGTGATATCCATCTCATTAAAACCATTTTTGATCCTTTGTTTTAAGAAAGAACAGAGATCCAGAAGACGTTAGATCTTACAGTACTACTACAGCAACAACGTAAAACAATAGCCAATTAAAAGACTAAAAAATCTACTCCTATTGAAATTTAAAATTCTTGACACGGTTGCAGCAGTGAAGTCGGCCTATTGATAAGGATGATGTGGCGCCAATTCCGAAAATCACTGATAGGGCGTGTTTATTTTCCTAATAAGTGTTTCGTTTTGCCCAAGAGAGAAAAACTTCAGCGAAGAGCATGAAGGGGATGGTCACTTTTCGTTTCACTATTGGCTAGTTTTCTCCGATACATTTGGAATAATTAGAAGGAAAACCAAGTCGTTCTTATATATCATAGTATGTTCCAGAAGATCAAATCAAGAAGTAGCCATTACAATCGCAGTTCGCTCAGTCTTCCATTCGTACGATACAACCAGGCTTTTTCACTTACATCACAACTTGGCTTAGTACAACACTTTACTGATTAACGTGCATTTTCCATTCCATTATTTTTATCTGAAGGCTGGTCTGAAATCCACCACGCAATCGTTTACCTGCTTACCTCTCTAAGGAAACTTTTCGGAGGTTTTGTTTTAACAACTTCATGGATTTAAAAGGACTTTGAAAGAGGAATTAAATCCGTTGCACTCCGAAGTGAAGGTTACATGTGAAATTTTTCTACTTAGTATTGTAGAAACACCTCTTGGTGCACTATTTCTTCTTAAAATAGGTCCACAATAAAGATCGCATAGAAGGTAAATAAACCACGAGTAGTCTATATTTCGCGTAATACCCTCATGAAAAATAAAAGGTATTAAATGAAAAGCTAAACACTCTGATTTCGACTTCAGCCTCAGCTTCAGGGGGTTCAATGCCGATTTATGCTCCCTGAATCATTCCCGTCGACGGATGGCTGATGGCACCGTCATAGTGAAAAACTGACCGAGACAAAGGCAAAGCAATGGCCTCAAAGTGCAGTGGGTAGCACGTTAGCCCCCGGAAAGGGTAATCCCGTATTGAAGCAAGCCTGAGGTCCAAGCTCTGCAAACATCTCAGCACCATTGTGGTTGTATTTCTTCAAATTTAACAGAACAAATGCAGTCACATGTTTAAATATGAACACAGAAAAGAGAACTACTCTGATTCGGAACCAAAACGTGATCGGTTGTCAATTCTATGTTTTCGAAAGAGCTATTGTCAGCTGTTCATGTAGTGCCAAGGCTTTTCCAACAATCTTATAACCGCTTGTACTTCTGGGCTTGACATTCATTCAAGTCTATAATTCAGCTCACTTTTCTTGGCTTTTCTCCTGCAGATGTACTGCCGATTACATAAATTTCACTATCTGCATCTATTTTACAAATCATCGATCAGCTGCAAGGCGTACTCAAGCTGAGATACAAATCACAGTGTAGAAACAGAAACCCTTCCTGAATACGAAGCAGTTTAAAGTATTTAACAAACTTGAATGGCCATTTATGTGTTTAGAAAGAATTGAAATAAAGTTCAAATGTGTCTTCAGCCTTTTTAATCGGGTTTCGAGTGTAGCCGATTTAAAACAGAGGACAAAATCGTGCGCATATGGAATGCAAAGGAACGGAAAGAATGACAATGACCTTCCCATAAAAACCAAACGTCTTTCCGGACATGCCGCACTTAGTTCCCGTCTGCGTTGCTACAACGAAGTGTATTGTACTTCCCATTATATCCCTGTCTGTCCGTGAGCAATAGGTGACATTTTCAGTTTTGTAATGGATGGAAGCCCTAACTGGTAGGAGGAATCAGGCATTAACACTTTAGCTTGTAAATTAAATCGTCCGGATCGGAGGTAGGTGTGCTTACCAGATAAGCTTGTTAGTGTCGTCGAAAAGACGAAGAAAAAAGAAAGAGTGTAAAAATAGACGTTACATTACTACTGAAGAGTGTTGGACTAATTTATCTGACGGTATCCGCTCAACGAAATTTGTTAAGATCAGAAGTGTTATAAGGCAAACTCCAAGAAGGAAGCAAAGACTAGGAAGATCAACACTTCGACTGGATGAGACTACGAAGTGTCAAATCGCGACGACGAACAACGTTGATCAAGTTTCTGGCATTGTTGAAGCTCTAAGGAATGCTAAAGCAACGAAAGCTTAACTTAACAGAACTTTTAACCAATTCACGTTAGCTGAATAGCCCAAGGAAATATTTCTTGTAAGTCTTTTGGATGAAAGCAATCATGAAAGCTTTCGCAATAAATGTAGGAAGATAGTAGCTGAACATGAACTGTTCAGGGGTGCATTTCTGTGGATGCTGCGAGGGAAACAGCGGTGCTGGTCAAACATTTTCATTAACGAACTAAGAAAACATAGTAGTTTAGATATTTTTAAAACGAAGGGCATACTCTGGGTAGTTCTTGCCTCATATCAAAGATTCAAAGATAAAGTGTTCAATGCTTATCATTTCCTTCAATATACACCACGCATTCGGCTCCCCTAATACGTGGAGGTGATAGAAGGATTATTGGTCTGAAACAATGAGATATTGACTAACATTGAATCAATTCAATGTTTTTGTTTCTGTTTGAACATCCGACACTTTTCGAAGCCCTTAAATCCGCTTTCCAATTAGGCGTTGTGTTTGCTGGCTCTGTTTCAGGAGACATGGCTAAAGGATTCTGTGGGCGATGTGTAGAATGTTTGTTATTGCTGAGCTCTTTGCTGGGAAGTGGAGCACTGTGAGAATCGTTGCATGAGAAACGTAGATGCGAAGTCCAGAGTCTGTTTGTTGGTTTTTTACTTCTCTGAAATCTTAAATGCTGCCCATTCTATCTTTTTCTTTCAAATGGAGTGCTTCTTTTTGAGAGAATTACAATTCCTTAGCTCTTTTCGTTCCAAATGACCTCTTTCTTCTTTTTCTACAAGCAACGTGTCGAAAGAATTTTCTCTCACGATTAACTTCACCGCACCAAATCTGCCTTTTTTTTGCTGACTGGTCCTTGAATAAATTTTGCTATTAGGAAACTCTTATGTTCATCACTGCAGTTGCCTAGTAAAGCAGTTCCTATTCTTATCTCGGTTTTCCAGTGTATTTCCCGGTCGACTTTCACTTTTTTTCCAGTGGTTCATAGGATAGAGTCGATGACATTGGTGTTGTCCTGAGCTAAAGTTCGAATACGACAAGTGGTCATGCAACGTTATGCAATGTTGTGTCTAAAAATATCTAAATCTAAGTCTATGATGAAAATGTAAGATAAAACAAAAGTTGTAAAAATATTTAGATCTAAAAATATGAGAAGCATGATACTAAAGGATGGACGTATTTCAAATACTATACCGAACGATGTATTTCAATTCCTACATCCGCGTGCTCACCAAGCTTTCCTTCCCTCGAAGCTCGGCAAGCTGCTATTAGCTTTGTCTGCGAGGATTTGCATTCTACTTTAATAAAACAAGACAAGCTAGGGCCACTAACTTGACGCAGGTCCAGCACACCGCGAGTTATTGCACGGGCCAACTATACATGAAATCACCTCTACGTGTCATCTGAAATCGAATGTATGAGCATCGATCAGAGACTGATCAGTGCCGAAAGCTCTATCATTTACCTTCTTACATAAATTCTATTTTGTAGAAAGATACTTTTGCGAATTACACACTTTCGTTTAGTAACTAGCTTCTTGTTTTTCTCTCTTCTGTAGGAGTCACGTGGAATTTAATAAGACCTGCATTACAAAGAAGAGAGTAGAATTAAGCAACAAGGGAAATTGTTTCTGGCGGCAGTTTCCATGGCCTCATTGAGAAGCTCCACGTTGCTTGGTATCAACTCTACGACCATTGCCCTTTTGCATCTATGACTCCATATGAGCTCACATTGTCGCACATTTCATTAAACCATGAATATCGTCAGGGAATGAGGATCGTGCAAAGTTCATGGCACTGTTGCACATCTTAACAACGACAAAAAAGTTTAGACTGCTACAAAACGCATAACCTGGCAAGAAGTCCTATACAGTGGGGTACCTCCGAGTGTAGTTCCTCATCCAAGCGGAATACCCAATCCACTAGATTCCATTCCATCCGCCAAGGAACGCCGACATTGCCACAACGACCCAAGAAAATCATCTCGCTTAATAAACATCCAGCGATTTTCGTGAAGAAGAAGTCCTTATGTGGTGGCCAAAGGCGGTTTCAATTCGCCAAACTCGAAAGCATTGCGGCTTCAAAGACAATGTGCATCGCAGGTCACTCCTAACCATCTATCGGATTCAAAGAGACAAACTCTTTTTTCAGTGCCGATTTTAACGACATGTTCAAGATAACGTCGGAATAAATTCACGGCCGCTTGAACATCTACC